AATAGTAACATTAATTTTTGGAGTTGTCAATGTCCTATTTAGAATTTTGGGTCGAATTTGCTTTTGTCTTTGATTTCTAAGATCTTTGGAGGTTGCCAATTTGTTATTGAGAATTTTGGGCCGAAATGAATGTTTTATACTCCCTTTCCCGTATCTCCCTCTCCCAGTCACCACCTCTATGGCGGCCCCTCCACCCACAGCCCCCCCCCCCGGGGACGTTCCCTCCATTTCCAGCAGTTGTAATCTCAGTTGTGGGTGCATACTCATAGTACTGATTATCTGTCTCTGGGTCCCAATATTCCCACCTCTCAATGCTATCTATTCCTTCCAGTGTAGCAAAAGCTGTAAAGTGCACTTGTGTTGATGCTATAAAGTACACTTGTGCTAAAGTTGTTATAAAGTGCACTTGCGCTGAAAAAGCTATAAAGTGCACTTGTGTTAATATTATAAAGTGCACTTGCGCTGGAAATTGGAGGGATATCAATAGCAGCAAAGGTAAAGTGAACATTGACCTAGAGGTAGTATGCTGATGTAAACAGTTAGCAGGAACCCAAAGAACAGAACATAAAGTGCAATGGCTATGACCACTTGACCTAGGATTTTGGACCACTTAGTCGAGGTATGGCATCTAGCAAGATCTAAAGTGCTTAGAGTAATGATATGAGATTTAGCAGGAACTAAAGTGCTTAGATTAAAGTGACTTTGTGCTGAGATAGATAGTTCTAAAGTGCTCAATAATGCAAAGAATGTCTACTATAAATGGATTCACTTTCCAACCACTCAGTCAAGACAGACAGTTCGCACCGAAGAACCTAGGTCCTTAGGCCCGTGGAGCAAACAAGCCGGCACCCAGGGTCAGGTCTCCGGTTCTTCTTGGCCGTCTTGGGTGAAGATGATCCCAGCAGAGCAGATGGTAATCCGTAATGGAGACAATATATGCAATTATTGGTAACTCAGCAGCACAATTTTATGGATTGTCCGTTGTATAATGGATGTTGTTTGTACTTTTCGTCCTGACCTCAAGGCTGGAAGGATTCAGGACCCCTGTGGCAGGAGCAGCAGCAGTCTGAGACTAGGCCAAGGCAGGTGCAACACAGAGAAACCAGTTTGTAGGAAGAAAATTGGCAGATTGTTATGTATGAACCCAGACCCAAAGCCTTTGCAACTGACATTTGACTAAAAGCGCAAAGGGATGTTTTTTCTTTCTACTGTTCAGCTATCCCTTCCTTGACATAAGAAATTCCCAGTTCATCAGATCTTGGTTCCATATTCTTTACCATCCTGGTAAGCTTCAATAATACTAAGAGCAGGAAAAGTTGCCAGGTCATGGTTTCCCAGTACTAATTATAAGAGAGAACCTCAGTGATGTCAATAAGCATGATGCATTGAGGGTAAATAATAGCTCCACAAATTACAGCAAATTTAAAACACCACATCTAATAAATGAGAATTTCCAGTAGAAGTAGTTTATAAGGCAATGCTCTGGCCCTGAGATTCCCCCCTCCTCTCCCCTGAAGACCTAAGAGACCATCTAGGTCCTAAGACCTGAGAATCTATTGAGGGAAGAACCTTAATGGAAACTTGAGCTGCTTGCTTCAGGAAAGTGTTACCATCCTGCTATGTGCCTCCTCTGCTGTAGAGAGGAAATGGTGGGCAGGAGTGATAACAATACTGAGATAAAAGCAGGAAGAGAAGGCCTGGAGAACAGTTCTGCTTTATAATTTAATCGTGTCACTTTCTTGGTGCTTGGTGAACGTTGGCTTCATCTAGATCCCACTTTATAGTTGTTGAGGTTATACAAGTTGTCCTTCATGGTATGACTGAGAATAACCATTGCTGCTTCCTTGCTCTACATTTAAAATTGTGCCCAGCTGTTGTGAAATGTTATGAATTGTGGCTGAAGGATGGTGACAGCCATATCACTTCAATCTCAAGTGTGGGGAGATGAAGGAAGATAGGCAGCTGGACAGCATTGCTGGTCAGCCTCTTTTGCTTCAGGAGCAAGACACCTACTGTGTCTAGTTAAGAGAAAAGGCTAAGCATTGGAACTTTGTCAGGAGAGGAATACCATCTCTCTCCCACCTGAGATTAGGGTACATGAAACAAGACCCAGGCCCCCGTCTGCAGATGCCAAAGAAATGAGGGCTGAAAAAAAATCCAATAAGCTAAGTAGAGTTTATTTTAATGCACTTGTCCCAGTTTCACCTGGTATGCCAATGGGGTAGTCTCACAACTGGCCCATCTGTCTTCTTGCTGGAGGCTGTCAACGAAAAGGACAGACTGCTCTGCCTTGCAACTATTGTGAAAGACACCATCATGAAATATATTTTGTAAGATAAAGACATCCAAGTCAACCCTTCTCCCACATCTCAATTAAGCTCCTGACTGTACACAAAAGGGAGTAAGATATTTTCATGTCAACCCCTGAGAGCCTCAAAGCTGAAAAGCAGGGTATAAATACTCTTAACAAACAAATTTCCTCAAAAGGAAAGCAAATGCTTTTCATTTCACCCAAAAAATGTCGTATTAGAGAACTCTAGCTGCCAGATGAGTACATCAAGCAAGATACTTGATCAGAGGGCACATCTTTTATTCCGCATACAGTTCACAGATGGATTTAAATAAAAGGACTTGAGTCTATGCATTAGAATATATAGAACGCCCATTAAGCAGAATGATGTGAAGGATGAACTGAAGTTCTTAGCAACATACATTTCAAAAGCTGCATTACCACACTGCTGGAGAAATTATATACTGTTTTGCTGGTATTGCACCACCTGATATTTGCTGGGAAGTAGCAGCCAGCAATGAAAGGACAAAAGCATTGACATCTCTGGCCCAACCTCTGTTCGGAAATCAGCCAGCATGCCAAAGACTTAAATCAAGAAATAACTTCCTAAGATCTACAGAGATACTCGCAGGAACACCTCAGCCAAGTGAGAGTCCAAAAGTGGCAGGTAAAAAAAAAAGTGGCTCAGACCAGATAAGAAACTCCCTCCAGAACACACAGAGGATTGGGTGACCTAGAAGGTGCTGAGCAGACTGCGCTCTGGTACTGAGATGCAGACTCAATCTTAAGAAATGGAGCTATAATGAGGAGTCCACACGGCATGCGAGTGTGGAGGAGAGCAAACCAAAGACCACTTACAGCCTGAGCCCTGCAACATGCACAACAGAGGACCTTCTTACAGCAATACCAGAGGCACTCCAAGTGGCCAGTTTCTGGTCAAAGGAAATTTAGCATAATGCCAGGTTTTAAACTTTGTTTTTTTCCCCATAAATTGTAACTGTATTCTCAATTTGCTGCTGACATGACAAATGAATCAATTTCAAGTGTCTTATTTGTAGCAGGAAAAACGTCAGCAATAATAAAGTGGAAATTATCTGAAAACAGTATTTTTTCCTTATCTTCTCCTTTTCCAGTAGATTAAAATGTTTTATAACAAGGCATTCCTGCTCCTTTTTGCTTTGGTTTAACATTTCCATGAATTCTTCCTATTAACTCTTGGCAACTTTCTTCTGAGTCCACAGTCCTGAATTTATCATTGGGGGTACCCCAATTAACAAGAATGGGATTTACTTAAATAAGTATGCATTGGATTGGATTGAGCTTCCAGACTCATACATGAAATTCCTATTCTGTGCATCCATTTTAAAATCATTTTCATTATGCCTGTCTTATTTGCATTCAGCCCCATGTAGAGAAGCAGAGATTTACCTATCCAATTAGTTTTTGCGTTCCAATGTTCAGGAGAAAGGCTGGAGTCACAATCCAAAAGGAATGTTGTTTTTTAGACATAGATACCACTTATCTACCATATGCTGTGAAACACAATATAAAGGGTGTATTTGAATCAGCAACAAGTAATGTAATATTCATTATGTAAAGAATCCTATGAAAGAATTCTTGTGGCTCAGGGAAATTTTAGATTAGGCAGTACATATGATCGTCTTTGGGCCCAATTATGAAGGAAAGCATCAGTTCAGAAATAAGTTTGTAAATGCCAGGTTTTAACTGAAAAGACATAATCCTAGAGATATCAACTGATGCATGTGTTTTGTAGTACTCTTCAGTATTTTTCACTGCTTTGGTGAGCAGCAGTCCAAAAAAATCACCACTTATAACTATAACATGGTGCTTAACTCTTCCTGAACTCCCACCCTTTCAGACTTATTTCTAGACAAAGAGCCCAGATGGAGAAAATGCAGTGAAGGGGAAGATTTTTTTGCTTTCCTCAAACAGCTCACCCCCAGTTACTCCACCTCTCATACTGCAAAGTGGAGATCTAGGAATCACGTTTGGCTTATAGTAAGAGCTGCTTGATTCAAAACACACAAATCTGGGTCAGAAGCAGGGCGATCTGCAGCTGAAGTAAGCTGGGTTTTTTAAACATACTGTTCTCTGATTCTGCAACAAAATAGAATACTTGCCCTTTTCTCTTTGCCTCCTTTTCATTGTTTCACAAAATCCTCAGTATTTGATGTACTATATGTTGAACCTGAATGCTAACATTCATTTTAAATACTGTACAACTGATGTACAGAACAAGGACTGCCAAGTTAAATGTGTCAGCAGGGGAAAAAGAAGGGGAAAAAAGCTTTAATCATACAGGATTTGCTGTGGCCATCATTAGCAGGTGAAGCTGACAAAGCAAAAGTAACTTCCCAGACCCCTTGAGCAACACACTACCAAGCGGTCGTTACATGTATGTGTTCCCTCTTTTATTGAACTGGATTTATTAGTTCACCTTTGAAACAAAAGTAAAAAGACATTACATGTTTCTCCTAAACTGTAAATATCCCAAGTAACTGCAGTTAATTATACACCCTCGAAACAAACTTAAGCTCTCTTTTAAATGTAAATATTCTGTATTCCAAAATCTCATGGTTTTTTTAAATGTTCAAAAAAAAATCTTCCATTAGTATTCTGTACATATAAACAATAGTTATAATACTTTGGCATTCAGTTTAAGTAATTATTCCTTCTCGTCTCATTTCAGGAATGTACATCTTCTCCACAGCACACCTATAACCTGCCAGAACTCTACAGAACTGAAGACTATTTTAACAACAAATGTATAGGTAGCAAGTATCAAAACTGTTAGTACTCGATTTGTCTATATTTGATAAAATATAACCAAATTGATGTATATGTATATGTTTTATCAAAGGATCGGAATATGTATTTTGTTGCTGTGTAACTTTGTTGTAAGGGAGAAACTGATCAAAATGAAGTTCTGGTAAATGATAGCTATTAATGCTTTCTATTTGAAAAAAAATTAGAACTTAAGTATAACATGGTTCTTTCAAACCTCAGAGCATCTCTGCTCTTTCCAGCAGGTTACATGCTTAAAACAGCGCTATATAGAGACAACTAAAAGTATGGGCTGATAAAATTACTGGCAGAAGACTAGAGAGGTATATATGATGGTAAAGAAGTGTCAAATCCAGAAAAAATGTAATTTTGTTCCCATGAAAGTGGAATTTCTTGTAATGTTAAAATAAAGATCACTCTGCTGCACATAACAGTATGTATTTTTACAATTAAAGTCACTACTTTGCTATTCTAATCTTGAGCCATAGAAATAAGTGTCTGCCAGGATCCCTGCATGTTGCCTTCATCTAATAAAAGCATAAATTTTGTATCCAGTCATACAGACTAGAGTGAACCGTTAAGAACACACTTAAATTGGAATTTGGAAATAAATAATTATGGAAACTAAACAGACCCAAGATGAAAAGGAACATTACTAAAAGCCAAAGCAGTGAAACCCTTCTTCAAGGCAAACTACAGCCTGAATGATATGAACTGGAAAGTGGCCTTTTGTCTTGAACATTTCAAGTACCTGATGTGATCTTCAGGAAGAACAAGCAGTTTCCAGGCTTTATCTACTTGGTTTAATATTTGCTGTGAACGGTAAGGTTAAGATATTTTATTTGCAAAAGTAGTGGGTAATATATGCAGCAACAATAAACAAGTATTAAGAGCTTTTGCCTGGAGATAGTTGCTGCAGTATGTATTCACTCATTTTACTTGGTCACTCTTCACTGCTAGAACACAGAATGCATCCTTCATATACAACAGAATGAAACATACTTTAGACAATTTAAGGCTGCTCCAAAGTGAAGACTTCAGAAAAGGGGTAAACTATTTACAGTAGCTTAAGTAAATAAGCTGTGTCATTGGGACGTCGTGATCTCTCTACAAAATTTAAAGTGAGAAACCACATCTCTCCCACTATTGGCTGTCATGGGGAAAACAAAATGCATTGCTTTTAAAACATACATTAATTGCATTGTCAGCCCAAAAGCACCAGATCCCATTTGACCTCAAATGTTAATAGGGTTGATCTAGTGAGAACTTGGATGGGAGACACCAATGAATACCAGGTGCTGCAGGCTATATTTCAGAGGAAGGAACTAGTGGAACCATTTTTGAGTTTTCCTTGCCAAGAAAACCCCTATGAAATTCATGAGATCACCATAAGTTCACAGGTGACTTGAGGGTGCATACACACATGTATTAATTGTATTAAAAGTGGAAGAGATCCCAACACCTCTGGAGTGCACAGCTGCCTTCTTTCCATGCTAATCATCTTCCCCGTCTCTTCCCTCTCAAACATTAAACCAGTGCTCCTGCATGAGAAGCTGAAATAACACCTCTGCAAGGTTATCCTGCCATGCATACAAAACACAGCTCAATGCCTGGATTAATTTGTTGAAAAGAGCCAATCTTTCAAACAGTCTGCTTAAAAGAAATTGGAAAAACCAGACAACAGCATGATCTAGTGCTTTTCAATTCACTTGATTTCAACAGGAGACTTAAGCACATGCTTAACATCCATATAAGAATGCAAATAATAATATAAAATAACTTCTTTGGATATACTGTGCTGCAAACGTGTGCATTAGTTAATCCATACAGCTTTGGAATTCACATCTATATTTGCTTGCTTAAGTTCCATATAGTCCTTTTTTATACAAGTTGACTTTTTAATCAGCATGTCACTACAGTAGAAACCTATCATTTTTTTTCAAGGCATCAACCTCAGCATCCATGTTTGTTTTCTTTTCACAAACATCAGCATAAGGAAACACTCTTGAGAACCAGGGATGCACACCTTGTAATAAAGCAAATGTTTACATTAAGCACAATACAGCAATTTATTTAGATGCTTAAATGAATACAAAGGGGAAATAAAGATCACAAAATTATCCATACTACAACAATGTGTCATATATTAGATGGTATAAATGAATACAACACCATGTTGGTGTTAACTAAAGATAAAACTAAATATCCAAAAATTGCAGCACTCATTTCTGTATGCTGCTTTAACACAGTACACTTTTATACAGATCTAAAAGGTGTCAAAATTAGTAGCTGCAAACTTGTTTCTTGCATGTGATTTTTTTAGCTTAAAAGATTTCAGAAAATGGCTCTGAAATACATAGTCATCAGTTGTAATGTCAAGGATATTCAAGAACAAGAAAATTCTATAATACAATAGAGTCCAGATATATTTTATGTTGCTGGCCTCCGTTTGAGATTGTACAAGGTTATGTGCAAAAACTAACTCTGTCAAAAGTCATACTATAGCAGTTTCAAGCTTTTTGCTAGGTAAACTAGATACAGCATTTATTACACAGCAGGGCAACACTAAAAAAAAAGAACCAAATCTATGATGGATACACAAGAACAATAGCATAAGCATCACTTGAATAGGTCTAAAAGACTGTACAAATATACATTTCAACTATTCAGAATGATACATGAAAAAAACAATTTTCCCAGAGTCTACTATACACATTGAACTGGTAGCTCATATGTTGGCCCTATAACTACCATGTGGAAAAGGGTAATGTTTAAAAAGACATACAGCTGAACATATACAGAGTAAAATCAATGTTGAAAATGCCGATAAAATAAACTTTTTTCGTCTTCAGTGAACATTTGGGAGCCACCAGCATATCAGTTTTCACATTAAGTTACTGTGCTCAGTCACAGCAGGTACTCTGAAGTGAGATTTGCCAGGAGCATACCTTGAAATAACTGGAATTGGTGGTCTTGCAGCCAGTGGCCAGGTGACCTTGCGCTCAAAACGCAGTACCAGTTCCAACGAATTCTAGCAGTCATTCTGAAATGAAAGTGTGTAGACAGTTGTCAAGTGGAGGATATGAGGTTAGCAAACTGAACAGCTTATGCTTGCTGGCTGCTCAGCTCGACCCCAGTTAGGCTACTATGCATTGATTCTGTAACCCCATCAGTCACACTGTCAAACTGGTCTCCATCTTCACTGTCGATTGTGCTATTTTGCCACTCCATCTGCTGATTGGACAAACTTTCTTCAATTTGTGTTGCATTTTTCCACTGTGACTGGTCCTTAGACCAAAATTCACCTACTTTTCCATAGGAACTATTCTTCCACTTTGACCGTTCTTCATCACTCTCAGAGGCAACAACTTTAGGTTCTGGAACTGGTTTTCTGCTATTAGCATCTTCACTTTGGGAGGATTCATCTGTCCACGTTTCTGGTTTCACTTCTAATGCATTATCTTCAAAGTCAGATGCTTGCTGAGATCCAGGTCCACTTTCAGATGGCGATGCTTCATCTTTCCATTCAACAGCTTCATCGTGATCTTCTTGGTCACCTTCACTCTCTGAACCCTCAGCTACTGGCTTTGGTGGTTCTTCTGCAGAACAACTTTCATTGTATTTTTCTGGGTCTCCTTCTTCTTCTTTTTGGTCTTTTATTTCCGGAGACGCCAAGGTAGCTTCCTCAAGTGTCTCCTTAGATATGCTTTCATCTGGTTTCTCATCAATGCTATTAACAGGTGGTTTATGATCAGAGTTAGAAACAGATTCTGCAAATGGACTATTGCTTTCAATGAATTCTTCTATATTCTCATAACTGTCAGAAGAACTTTCATTGTCTTTATCTAGGTTTATCTTTTTATCAACAGTTTTGCTAGCATTGACTCTAGAGTTCTCTTCATCATGGTTTTCAAACAGCCACTCTTCATCAAAATCCATTTCATGCTTTACTTTATTTAATTCTTTCATGTTAAATCCTAGCAGGACACCCAGTTTAAACTTTTCACAATCTCGAACACATTTCTTCCTTTTGTTACTGAAGTGTGAAGCTATGTCAGATTTCCATAGCCAAAGACTGGCAGCTAGCTTTTCAATCTCCCTCCGACTAGGATATGGTTGCTTGTTGAAATACTTTGTAAGAAAAGTTTTTCTGGCTTCATAGGAATCATCTTCATGACCCTTAGGATCTAAAGCCAACACTACAGGTTCCTCAGGCTTCTCCTCAAAGACAGAAGGGGAATCATCATCATCTATTTTTCGTTTCTTTAACATAGAGAACTCCATGTGTTCGTAAGTACGTTTCATAGGTCCTGCACCTGGAGACTGATTTAGCCGGGAAGGAACATTAGATTTATCTTGACCATTCTGAGTTTTCCCTACACCCCTACAATGGACAAGGTGCAGTGTTATAGTTGAGGCAGTCATGTTACTGGTATACACTCCAAGGCAATGAATACATTTGTAAGTAAGCTTCTTCTCTACAGGATGAACTGTTTGAATAACTTGATGTCTCTCCCTTAAGTGATGTGCCAGTGCATCGGAGATGGGTCCTTTCAGGATGGAGAAGCACAGAGGACAAAGCGTTTTCCCCACATCTTTTTTATAGGGAACTGCTGCTTGAGGAGAACTTTTTACAGGTATATCTGTCTTCTCCTGGATTTTTGGCTGTGGTTTTGGAACTGGAGTATTCTGAGCATGGTAAGCTACAGATTCAGCAGGGGCATCTCTCAAGTTGTAGGTAGTTACAAGTAAATGTATATTGGTGTGACTACCCTGTTGCAATGTTAAATCAAAGGTTAAAGTGGAATCAGTTTTAGGTCCCATTTCTTCATCAACATGAACCATTCGCATATGAGCAGCCATCTTTTCAACATCATTGAAAGTCGAACGGCAGTAAGGACAAGACAGACCATGGATTAGCATGTGGTTAAGCAGCGTGTCAGTAGGCAAGTAGCGATTACAGTATAAACATTTGCTAGTAAAATTATGTATCTTCATTATGTAGTTTGCTACTGCAGGCACCTTTTCAGCCTTGTGCTCTTTCTCAAAATGAACACTGTACACATTTTCTGGGAAGAGCTCATTGCAGATTGTACAGATTTTCCATTTTTGAGTTGATGAAGTATTGACAGCACCAGCACCTGCAGGACCGGCTCCAAGAGGCTTGGGTGTAGACTGGGCTAGTACTCTGGATGCAGCCTGAGACTGAGCCAGTGATGTTGATTTCAATGGGCCTGATGAAAGTGAAGATGAGTTGGCAGACTGAAGAGAGTACCTTGCTGTAGTCTGAGATCTTGGTTCGCCTCCAAGAGGGTAGTGTCTTCCATTCCCACTTGGAGGATACTGTTTCATTGATTGAGACTGCTGGGACAGGGAAATGGGCGAGCTACCACTCAGGCTGAGCCTTCCTCCTGTGTGACTAACATAACTG